TTTATCTTGCCCTTATGACCATGTTTTATAAACTTTGTACCTCCCTAGCTGTTCAATAAATATTTGAATTAAAAAAAAAAATCTATCTCAAAGTACAATGCTGTCATTGATAGGATAATATCCATATGCCTACTAATTAAATCTGAATGACTATTATTCAAATGTACTCACCAACTAATAATGCCACAGGACTGGGAACCACAGGTCCTTGGATCAAGCCTACTGGCTTCTCCATGGGAGAAAGATAAGGCTTTCTGACCCTGTAAAGATTACAGCCTTGGAAACCATACACAGGATTGCTATGAGTTAGAACTGACTGGACAGTACTTAACAACGACTAATGCCAAAGGTGAAGAAATTGAAGATTTTTACCAACTTCTGTAATCTGGAATTGATCAAGCATATACTCAAGATGCACTGATAATTGTCTTAGTTATCTAATGCTGCGCTCATAGAAATATCACAGATAGATGGCTTTAACAGCCAGAAATTTCCTCTCTCACAGTTTAGGAGGCAGGTCCAAATTCAGAGGTCCAGCTTTAGGGGAAGGCTTTCTCTTTGTCTGTTCTGGGAAACGTCCTCGTCTCCTTTCAGTATTTGTAGGCCTGGTATTTCATGGAGATTTTCATACATGTTTGCATCAATCTTTCCCTGGATCTAGGAGCTTCACGGTGCAGGGACCCCAGATCAAAAGGAGGCACTCCATTCCTGGCTTTTCCATCTTGGTGACAGTAGGTCCCTCCTCCTCTCCTCTTGTCTCTCTCCTTTTATATCCCAAAAGAGATTGACTCAGTACAACCTAGTCCTGTAGATTGAACCTGTCCTCAATAACATCATAAAAGTGAGAATTTACAACACACAGGATAATTACATCAGATCAAGCTGATCACATCATGGGGGTGATAACTACATCTTAACTGCTAAACCACTGAGAATCCTGGCCCAGCCAAATGGAGATAAAACCTTAACTATCACAATAATTATTGGTGACTGTTAGAAATAAAGAAGGATTGGTAGTTGGGAAATATGACCTTGGTGATAGAAACAATGCTGGAAATCACATGATAGAATTTTGCAAGACATATTCATAGCAAGTATCTTTTGTCAACAACATAAAGGACATATTGCAATAAGCAAATCTGCTGCAAAAGACCTCTTTAAAAGTATTAAAGGGAAAAGATGCCAGTTTGAGGACTAAGGTGCACCTGACAAGTCATGGTATTTTCAATAGGCACATATGCATGTGGAAGTTGGACAATGAATAAGGAAGACTATAGAAGAATTGTTGCAATTGAATTATGGTGTTGGAGAAGAATATTAAAAGTACCATGGACTAACAGAAGATAAACACATCTGTGTTGAAAGAAGTACAGCCAGAATGCTCCTTAGAAGCCAGGATGGTGAGACTTTGTCTCTCATACTTTGGAAATATTATCAGGAGGAACCAGTCCCTGGAGATAATATCCATATTATCTTGCTAAAGTGGAGGGTCAGCAAAAGATAAGAAGAACCCCAATGAGATGGATTGGTACAGTGGCAGCAGCGATGGAATCAAGTGCAATGATAGTAAAGATGGCACAGAACCAGGCAGTGTTTCGTACTGTTGTATGTAGTGTCTCTATGAGTCTTCAAGTTCATCATCACTGGCTTTAGTGGTTGGTGTATAAATTTGGATAATGGTTGCATTAACTGGTCTTTTTGGTATTGTTGTTGTTAAATGCTGTTGAATCTATTCCAACTCATAGTGACCCTGCATACCATTTCCCAGGAGTGGCTGATAGGTTTGAACCACCAACCTTGTGGTTAGCAGTCCAGTGCTTATCCTACAGCACCATACCAGGTCTTCCTTGTAGGCTTATGGATATTGCACTATCACAGACAGCACTGTTTAATTTGTCATTCCAGGCATAGTAAACCATGTGATTGTCTGATTCAAAATGTTCAATACCAGTCCATTTTAGCTCACTAATACCTAAGATATCTATCTCTATGAGTTCCATTTAATTTTTGACAACTTGCAATTTTTCCTAGATTCATACTTTATACATCCCACTTTAATAGATATTTTCAACGGTTTCTTCTCATTTTCAGTTGTGCCCCATCAGCAAATGAAGGTCCCCAAAACTCCATCCACATAATTATGGTCAGCTCAACTGTGAGAAGGCAACTCTTCCCCAGTTGTATTATGAGTGCTTTCCAACTTTAGGGCTCATCTTCCGGCACTATATCTGACAATGTTCTGCTGCTATTAATAATTAATGTTTTCAGTGGCTAACCAGAAGTGGTCTGCCTTAATCTGGAAGCTTCACTGAAACCTTTCCATCATGGGTAACCTGCTGATATTTAAAATACTGGTGACATCGCTTCTAGCATCATAGCAACATTCAAGTCACCACGGTACAACAAACTGACAGATGAGTGGTGGACAACAACAACGAGGAATATTATTGAGCAAGGATCTCCTTAAAATGAGAGATTCTTCAGTGTTTAAATCCCTGCTTAGAAGTCAAATCCACATTCCATCTCTGAACAACAGGAGCTATAAATTCTAACTCTGTGTGTATTTTCCAGACTTGTTCCTCTGAGAATCCCAAACCAGGGAGAAAAAGGTACGGCTATCCAACAAGAAACAAGTGGGTCCCACTAAACTAAATTTAGCAAGAAGAAGGAAGCCCTTTAGGGTCGTTCTCAATGGTGCCAGACAAGGTGGGCAAGTGGGACAGAGCACTGGTGGGTAGGGAAGGGCTCTCTGAGCTAGAACCCAAATGGGATAAGGCAGAAAACTGTGTTACATTGTCCTGTGTCCAAGATGACCAACTACCTGGTATTTCCCCAGGTGCTCAATAGCTTCCTGGTAAAAAGAGCAGGGATTGGGAGAGGAACTGCCACCTGGCACCTTTGGACAATTGCCATGGCAACCATAGGCCAGGCCTTATATTCCAGTCATTGCCTGGGAGTGGTCCTCCCACGTGTCCTGTTTTCCAATGTTATGGACTAATTACTGGACAGTTTTCCTCCCTACTTTAATCTTGCAAAACAAGCTTCTCTGCCTGGTGCCTGAAAACGTTTTCCCTGAGGTATTTGAAATACGAGATTTGTCACACAAGTGAACAAGAATTTGAAATTGAAACCAATTCTGTGAAGAAAGAAAAGCGGTTGGACATAGTAAAGGACAGTGTGCAAGGTCAGAGCAGACACAGGTTGAGAAAACATGCTCTTCTGACCCCAGCTCCCAGGCATCTCCACATCCTGCATGAGTCGGCTCAGGATGCTGTCTGGAACATGGTCAATACTCAACACCTGGGCCAAATGAATACATGGGCCAAGTGAGCTTCTCAGGATAGATTGTGCTACATCTTTCACTACATTCACCCCCAACAACAGACCCACTGGCACAGCCCTTACTCACAAGAATCACAGGTCCACAAAGAAAATAGATGACTTGAATCAAGATGGCGGAGAAATAAGACCAAGTATTGTGGACAAGACGTCTCCTGGTTTCCGAGGAGTAGCTAGTGAGCCTGCACTGCCAACCTTGTGGGTCAAGCCAACCTTACAGTCCAGCACATTAACCCACAACAAGGCTAGGTTGTTGTTGTTGTTAAGTGCCATTAAGTAGATCCCGACCCATAGCGACCCTGTATAGGGTTTCTGAGGAGTAGCTGGTGAGCTTGAACCACCGACCTTGCAGCTCGAAAGGCTTTGCAGTCTGGCGGATTAACCAGTGGTTACGAATCGAGCTGCTAACCTCAGGGTCAGCAGTTCCAAACTACCAGCTGTTCCGTGGGAGAAAGATGAGGCTTTCTGCTCCCGTAAAGATTTACAGCCTCAGAAATCCAGTACAGGGTCGCTATGAGTTGGAACCGACTCCACGGCACACAACAACAAGGCTAGGTTAGGTCCTGGTAATCGAGCACTCACCTTTGGTTACTTTGGGTCCCTGGGTGATGCAAATGGTTTGCACTTCATTACTAACTGCAACTTTGGCAGTTTGAACCCACCCACACAGCATCACCATGTAAGAAAGGCCTGGCAATATAATTCTGTTAAGATTATAGTCAAGAAAACCCTGTGGGGGTTCAGTTTTGCTCTGTAGCACATGGGAACATCATGAGTCGGAACTGGCTCAACAGCAATGGGTTTAGCTTGTTGGTTACTCTAACAGTATACTCTAACAGTAACCCAGCACTATTCTTTCTGAGATGATGGGAACGTTCTATATCTGTGCTGACAGTACAGTGGCTACTAGCTGTATGGGGCTACTGAGCGCTTGAAATATGGCTAGTGTGACTGAGAAACTGAATGTTTCATTTTATTTCATTTTCATTAACAAATTGTTGCATGTGGCTGGTAGCTATCAAATTAGACAGCATAGTTCTAGACATGTATGTGTTGAGGTTGAAAGTAAATAAAAGGATAAAATAAAGAAAAATAGCCTGATTGGCGTATGTTTTGCTATGTGCATTTTTGACAAGTACAAATTAAAGAAACGAAAATTAGCTTGACCTTTTATACTTTTCAAAGCAATTTTCCTTATACTGGTATGGCTCTGTAGGATCAGCACTGGACTGCTAACCATAAGGTTGGTGATTCAAATCCACCAGCCACTGTTTATAAACCCTATACAGGGCCATAGTACCAACAACAATAACATCTCATTTAAGCCACAAAAAGCTCTATTAGAGAGCCATGACAGACATTGGTATTCCATTTTATAGATTAGGAAACTAAGTCTCCATGAGGTTAAAAGGCCTGCTCCAGATCAAAAATGAGAGTTAAAGACTGAGCCAGAATAAGAAGGAAGCAGATTTCTAGGCTCCAAACCCATGCTTCCTTCTTCTGCCTATTAGGAAAAGTTTTATCACCATGGGAACATCTTGTATAAGCCCTCCAGTTCTTCTGGGGTTCTCTGTGCAGGTGGGCCCCAGTCTCCTAACTTCTCCCATTCTCCTCTCTCCATCACCTGCAACGCCCCCCACCCCCCAGCCCCTGCTATTCACCTGGTAGAGTTCATGAACCTGTGCATCCACCCACTGTTCCATCTCCAGCCAGCGCTGGAGCTGCCCTCGGTCATACTTCACTGTCAGGCGGCTTGGTCTCCGGGACCTGGGCACTTTGGAGGGGTCCGGATGCGACTTTAACTCTGAGTCTGTGGATGATAGTCTCCTCCTCCCAGGAGCCCACTGGACCTTCTTCCTTGGGTTCTCCCTCTCCGGGTTGGGAGAAGTGCAGGAAGCAGGACTTGAAGAGAGCATGGAAGGGTTGGCCTGAGCAAGAAGCTGGGAAAAATGACCAGTCAGGGCAAGAGCACAGAGGGAAGTGAGGAGGTACAGAATACAGAGAGGTCTTCAGGGAAGAAAGAGGGAGGGGCAGGGCGGGGCAGAGGTCAAAGATCAACAGGTCTTTGTGCTGGGAATGCCAGTTTCCGGACCTCCTTGCTGCCAGTGAGTGGCACTCCAGAACCTTACCAGAAACTTTCCTTTCTGCAACTACTGGAACCCAAAGCAACATAAACTGCAAATGAACAAAGGTCAAGAGGGTGCCATGACCTGGGAGGAGAAAGGAGTCCTGAGTCCTGAAGGTTGCAGGGCTCTAATTGGTGTTCTATGACTAGTACTGGATCAGGACCTGAGTCACATTCACCTGGAGATCCTCTGCAGCCCATCTTCTGCTGGAGAAGCTGTAGTCAGGTGAATCCTACAAGAGCAGAGAGTCCCTGGCCTGTCCCAGATCCTGCCTGAGTGTGGCATTGCTGGAGGCAGAGCCTTGGGCTGGGGACATGGATTGGAGGAGTGATTATTTCTGGTCCTCATAGGACCAGTGTCCCCTTGTGTCTGAATGTGACCTGGTTTGGGTGAGATCTTTTCCTCAATCTGCCTGACCCTATATGCTTATCTACCATGCTTGTTGTTGTCATGTGCTGTGGAGTCTGAAAGCAGCTTGTGGGTGTGAACCACTGACCTTGTGGTTAGCAGTCTAGTGCTTATCCTACAGGGCCATATCAGGACTGCACCATGTTTTATATCATGCGACTCACCCCTGCTTCAAGTTCCTCCAGAAACTAGAAAGAGAAAAACCTGCAGACCTACCTTATACCAAGTATAACACTTTCAGACATGCGAGGGTAAATAAAAAGGTGTTGCTACAAAATCATAGAAACCTTTATTAAACCAAAATAGCAAAATGTGGCACTATTTTTACTAGACTTACCCTACATCAATACATAGAAGAATTGATGCATTTGAGTTATGGTGTTGGAGGAGAATATTGAAAGTGCCATGGGCTGCCAAAAGAACCAATAGATCCGTTTTGGAAGAAGTGTAGCCAGAGTGCTCCTTAGAAGCCAAGATCACCAAACTTCGTCTCTCATACTTTGGACATATTGTCAGGAGGGACCAGTCACTGGAAAAGGATATCATGTTTAGTAAGGTGGAGGGAAAGAGGAAGACCCTCAATGAGATGGATTGGCCAAGTGGCAACATCGATGGACTCAAGCATAACAATAGTGAGGTTGGCCCAGGATCAGGCAGTATTTTGTTCTGCTGTGCATAAAGTTGCTATGGGTCTGTGCTGACTTGATAGCACCTAACAACAACAACCTATACATCTAGGTCTATAAATTTCTGAGGTGGCATTTCCATCTCTCTACTGCAGGTTAATGCACTGGACTGCAAGGTTGACGGTTCAAGCTCACCAGCTGCTCCTTGAAAACCCTATACGGGGTAGCTATGAGTAGGATCTGGCTCGATGACACTTAACAACAACAACAAATCCTTTCCCAAAGAATTCTGAGCTCTTCAATTTACACCACATCAAAATTGCAGTTTTGGCATCCTCAAGGGACTCAAATCACATTCCTTTTAAATGTTCTCTGACTTTTAGAAATAAAAAGAAATCTGAAGAGAGAAGATCAGGGCAGTAGAGTGAATGGAATTCACCGAAATTTTCTTAAGACAGCCCTCGCTACCTTTAAATAATGAACGAACAGGTGGATTATGAAGAAAAAAATTCCTAGATACAACTTCCTGGGCTTCTTTCTCACCGTTCAAAGGCCAATGAGCTCTGGAGTGCCTAGACATGATGGAGGTTGAGCTTTTCTAAGATATACTTGCCTTGCCCAGCCTGGGGGCCAGGTGGCCTACAAAGGAGAAACTGCTTAGGTGGGTGCCTTTCTTCTTGATGAGTTTCACTTCCTCATCTAAGAAATGGCTCTTCAGACAGTCACAAAAATGGAGGCTTGCTTCAGGTTCTTCTCCAGGGCCATAGTGGCTTCCATGGCATCCAGGGTCCTATTCTACTCATCTTGGGTAGCATCTGCATGTTTTGGAAGAGGATGCAACATCACATTAGTTTTACATCTTCTAGAGATGCTGGGTACCCTGCACTTCTCCTTCACCAATTCATGGCAAAAGTGGCTCATATATTCTAAAGCCGTATCATCGCAGTCAAAATAAAAGCCCAGAGAGAAGCAGGTGTAGGACGCCTAAGATACAGGTTGATGAATAGCCAATAAAAGCTGCTAACATTGTGGACTAATTCTGACAGATCTGGGAGCTCATGGTTGGTCAACAATAAGAACCTCATAAGAAGTTAGGCACAAAACAACAACAATAAAACAGTGTTTAGTGTTCCCAGGACTGAATCTGAAGAAGTCGGATAGTGATTGACAATTAGAGGTGAGGAGTCTCTGGGTCTGTTCTGTACAAACACTATTGGAGCAAGAGATAGATTCATGGGACAATCAGGCAAACTTGTTCCATATATCAATTTTTTGTTTGTATAGCTCTTTTTTGGAGTCCTGGTGTGGCAGTGTAAGATAAGCACTAGACTACTAACCGCAAGGTCGGTGGTTCAAAGCCACCAGCCACTCCTGGGAAACTCTATACAGGGTTGCTCTATACAGGAACCGCCCGGTGGCACTTAACAACAATGACAACAACATGGTTCTTTTTAGGTCTTGCAGTGTCCTGGTGCGACACTGCAGGATAATGAACTGAACTGCAAAGTCGGTTTGAACTGCAAGGTTGGCAGTTCAAACTCACCAGCCTCTCCTTGGAAATCCTATACACCTTCCTATTCTCTCTCTCCTCCTAATAAGGGATGTCTGCCAAAGGCTGTTGTTGTTAGTGCCATTAAGTCGGTTCTAACTCACAGTAACAAAGTTTCCAAGGAGTGGTTAGTGAGTTTGAACTGCTGATCTTGTGGTTAGCAGTCCAGTGTTTAGCCTACAGCGCTATACCAGGATTCCCTTGCCAAAGACTTCTTTTTGCACTGGCTTTCTTTCTGTTTTCTTTGGAAAATGACAGCGGTCCAGAAGAGGGTGAAAATGACTTAGTATAGAAGCTTCTAAAACATGGCCTGTACTTTGACATTCTGTGACCTGTTGAAATTATCATGATAGTTCTCTCCCTCTTCTGCTTTCTCCCACTTCCTTCCTAAGGTAAGATTGTGGCTCTTTAAGGAAAAGGAATAGGATAAGAAGAGTCCCCAGATTTTGTTCATTCATTAACTCATTCATTTAGCAAAGATTGTGTGAGTTCCTCCAGTAAGCCAAGCACTATGCTGTCACCAATCCTTCTCTTCCCAGAATTAGTTTAGTGTGAAAATAAATACATATTAACCAAATAATAAATAAATGTAAAACTAAAACTACATTCAGTGATGTGAAGAAAATGTAGAAGGTCATATAAGAGTATCTAGTGAGGACATGACCTAGTGAGGGACAACATTTAAACTAAGTTCTGAAGGATGCATAAGAATTAACTAGGCAAAGAGACCAACAAGAATGAGCCTGGCAAAAGGCAGAGCATATGCCAAGGTCCTGGGGTAGTAAGAAGATGGTGAATACCAGGGAATAAGAGAAGGTCAATAGGTGGAACAAGGGGGCTGGGGAGAGGGGAAGAAGAGAAAAGTGAACCATGAGGCAGGAGAGGTGATGTGGGTAATCATGCAGGGCTCTGCTAACTTGTTGAGAAATTTTGTCTTCATCATAAGTGTATTAGGCAATAATGAACAGTCTTAAGTAACAGTAACAGTAGGTAGGCAAGTAGATGCATTTAGATTTAAATTTCTAAAAGTGTGCTCTGGCTTTTATATGGAGAGAGGATCAGAGATTCAGATAATTAGGAGACCATTGTGGTAGGGTTTGATTGGGGAAAGGGGATTCTGTGGATGGTGAGAAGTGGACAGGCCAGAGAACTACTTAGGGATTAGTGTTTAACAGAATTTGGTGATAGACTGGAGAGGCACAATGATGCAGACTTCCTGGGATGCATAACAGATACAGACAGATCCATGTACAGACTGAGCCTATTTTCTCCTCCGTAAACTGGGGTTGGGTAAGACTCTGCTTGGGCATGCAGCACTGACAGTATGAAAATCAATGGCACACAAATGAGTTGTAGCCATTATTTGTAGTGTGAGGCTCCTCATTACATTTGTCTATAAGGAGCTCTGGTAGCGTAGTGGTTACGAATCGGGCTGAGAACTTTAAGGTCAGCAGTTCGAAACTACCAGCTGTTCCATGGGAGAAAGATGAGGCTTTCTGCCCCTGTAAAGATTTATAGCCTCAGAAACCCTGTACAGGCTTGCTATGAGTTGGAACTGACGCCACGGCACATAACAACAACAATCTAAGCATTGACATTTAGCTCACAGGAATATGAGTGTCACCATTCATCAGTAACTTGCAAAAGATAAAGGAGTTTGAATGATTATATATTCCTGAGTGCTTCGGTGTACATAAAAAAAACAAAAAACAAATAAGAAAAGGGAATAGAAGCAAAGGCTGTTGAGTGATGATGCATGGAGGGGATTGTAGTCATTGCAATGAAATGAAATACGATAGATAGGATGAATATAAAGCTGATGCTCTCCTATGTAAACTATCACTCAATTCACAATAAAAACTTTAAAAAAAACACATAAAGGAGCTCAGGATAAGACAGAAGGAAGAGGCCACCAGGACTGAAGGGCCACACAAGGGCAGGGCAAAAAGAGGCTGAGGCCTGCATTACCTTTCCTCCAGTGTTGTTGTTGTTAACTGTCATCCAGTTGATTCTGATCCATAGTGATCCTGTATCGGGTTTCTAAGGAGCAGCTGGTGAGCTTGGGAATAAGAATGCAAGATGGCTTCACCCAGCTCCTGAGCTGAGGTAACTGAAATGACTGGGAACTACGCGGGCCTCTCTCTATCTCTTCATAGTCTTTATCCTCCAAGGTCTTGCAGGGCAGTTCAAGTATTCCTATTGCAGCT